AAAAAAAAAAAAAAAAAAAAAAAAAAAAAAAAGGAGCAGGGTGTGTGGGGTGGACACACACCTAACACATCCTAGACAATTTTTTAACTCCACGAGTAATGAAAAACATACAGGGAACGAAGAAGAATGAGAAAACCAGTAGGCTTATTATCTAGAAAGCTGCAGCTTGAAGAAGTAGAGTGCTATAGTCAACACTGCTGGTAGTTGACCAGGTACCCTTACTGGGGGCTGAGTGCTAGTATCAGCTCACAGCTATGTACTCCTCTTGAAAATCACCCATGGTTTTCTAAAAAGTGCTCCTAGGGGCCAGTGCTGTGGTATAGTGGGTTAATGCCCTGGCCTGAAGTGCTGACATCCCATATGGGTGCTGGTTTGAGTCCTGGCTCCTCCACTTCCCATCCAGCTCTCTGCTATGGCCTGGGATAGCAGTAGAAGATGGCCCATGTCCTTGGGCCCCTGTACCCACATGGGAGACCCGGAAGAAGCTTCTGGCTTTTGACTTCGGATTGGCACAGTTCCGGCCTTTGTGGCCAATTGGAGAGTGAACCAGTGGATGGAAGATCGATCTCTCTCTCTCTCTGCCTCTCCTCTCTCTGTGTAACTCTGACTTTCAAGTAAAATAAATAAATCTTTAAAACAAACAAGCAAAAAAGTGCTCCTAGCCTTACCCTGTAGAGCCTGAGAAGTTTCGCCTTCCTCTGGGATGGCCTTAGTCAACGTCTATTTGATAAGTGGGAATGAAATACTGTATAACCTTCGGTGCCAGTGAGACTCCAGAGCTCCCTGCAGAACCAGGCTGAGGCTAGACGAACTGAAAACATAACATTGTCTGGTCATTCTTCTGCCCTATCCTGCGTCTATCATTCTGTCACAGATGTCTCCTTAGAACTTTCCCTCAATAAATCACTTGTATCAGAATCCCTCATCTCAGGCTCAGAAAAAAAAGGATTGGGAAGTCAATATGCAATCAATATATAACTCACTTATTGGCTAAGCGAAACCCAAATGTAAATATGAATGCTTGTGAAGCTAAAGAAAGAAAAATGTTCATGCATTCATTTTGGAGATAAAACCAAAGTCAGGACTGTATCCAAGCAACAAATGATCTTCCCTGTTTAATATGGTAGTCACTAGCCATATGTGGCTATTTAATAACAAAGTTAAAAACTCAGTTCTTCAGTCATAATTCACAACATCTACAGAGCGCTGATCTCCATGTGGCTAATGGTTACGTTATTGAACAGGACATATATGGGACATTTCCATCAACACAGTTTTATTCTACAATGAGGATCTGGAACATTGACCTGAAGATGAGGTAAACAGGAAGAGTAGGGGAAAAGTGCTGAGTCGCATACCTGGTATTCAATCTCTATAGAAATTCTGAATTGATAGATAAGACTGTCTAGGAATGATGTATAATAAAATTGCTAACTAATGACTCTTATAATACAGTGTAAAATGGATTCTAACAGTTTGTACTGTAAGTATAAAAATTAGAGAGTTGGCAGGTATAAGGGACACAGAAGCATTTCAAAGTCTCTTGGCCACAGCTGTTGAGAAAGGGAAGAAAGAGATGGATGCAAAGTTTTCTAATTGTCTCCTTTTATTGTAGTAGGGATATGAGGATATGGGGGTAGATACAGTGTATATTATTGTGGAAATCAGTTAGGAGTTTGATTATAAAATATAGTAAGGGAGAAATTATCTGATCCCAAGAGCAGAGAAAAGAGGAAATCCACTAGTGAAAAGTAGAACTTCCAGTTAACAAAGAAAGGAAAGGAATAGAAAGCACACAATTGCGGCCGGTGCTGTGGTGCAGCAGGTTAACACCCTGGCCTGCAGTGCCAGCATCCCATATGGGCGCTGGTTCAAGACCTGGCTGTTCCACTTCCCATCCAGCTCTCTGCAGTAGCCTGGGAAAGCAGTGGAAGATGGTTCAAGTCCTTGGACCCCTGCACCTGCATGGGAGACCTAGAAGAAGCTCCTGGCTCCTGGTTCCTGGCTTCAAATTGGTGCAGCTCTAGCCCTTGCGGCCAACTGGGGAGTGAACCATTGGATGGAAGACCTCTCTCTTTCTCTCTGCCTCTCCTCTCTGTGTGCAACTCTGACTTTCAAGTAAATAAATAAATCTTTAAAAAAAAAGAAAGCACACAATTATGTCAGTAAGAAAATAAGTGAAAATAATGTAAAAGTCAATAAAGCATTAAGTAATATGGAAGAAATCAAATCAAGTAGATGAGTCATGATACTAAATACAAATGTGTTGAATTCTTTCAATAAATGACAGATTGAGTGAAGACAAATTGACATAAAACCCAACAATTCTATGTTGTTTATAAGAAAATGCTTACAGATAAATATAGTAGCAGACAAATAGTTAAAAAAAATCAGATGTGGATATGAATATCAGACAAAGGGGTATTTAAAAGTAAATGCACTAAACAAACTCTTACTAATGCAAGGAACATTCTTAAAACAGGAAAGTTGACAAAGGATTTGAATGAGTGGTCCAATAATTGGCAAAGTATGAAGAAATACTCATATTAGCAATGAGAGTAAGGAAATAAAACTCATAACGAGACTCTCCTAGAAAGAAGAAAAGTTTATGTTGGAAAGGTTTACATTATCAAAGTATGGATAGAATTTAAGGCATGCAACACTGTGCTTTACTGGTGAGGAGTAGACTAGTATCATCATTCCGTAACAACATCTAGCAGAACTTACCAAATGTGATGGTACATATGCCTTATGGCCCAGCAGTCCCACACAAATCCCCATACAATATGTCTTGTAGTCAAGATAACTTTAACCATTGCTACATCCAAGTTTAACATTAGAGAATAAAACAGTACAGAGAAAACACATGAAAAGCCACAATTCTTGAGAGGGATTTCAACATCTCTCTCTAAATTTGTCAGAGTTCTTCATAAATAAAAAAATAAATAATGGGAGAATTGTATTAGGAAATTCAGCTTTGGTCCAATCCTAAAAAACTTTAATCTTTGTTAGGTATCCATACTTCAGTTGCTTACATAATCTCACATGTCAGCAAACACTGGCACTATGTCTAGTCCATGTTGAATGGTCAAAATGTTGAATGAATAGCATGTTAAATATCCAGCAAAGATGCTGATACTGTGACTAAATAAGACCACAGAATTTTAATATATGGAAGTTGCTTACAGAAGGTTTTTTAAAATGAAATCTACAAGATTGAATAGAAATATTATAGAAATAAAAACAATAGAGTTTCCAGCAATTTATCTGTTTTCATGAGATTAGGGTTTATGTTTCTTTCTCACTTCTCTTAGATGCTTTTTTTTTTTTAAACAGGCAGAGTGGACAGTGAGAGAGAGAGAGGCAGAGACAAAGGTCTTCTTTTTCCATTGGTTCACCCCTGCAGTGGCCGCTGGCTGGCGCACTGCGGCCGGCACACCGTGCTGATCGGAAGCCAGGAGCCAGGTGCTTCCCCTGGTCTCCCATGTGGGTACAGGGCCCAAGCACTTGGGCCATCCTCCACTGCACTCCCTGGCCACAGCAGAGAGCTGGCCTGGAAGAGGGGCAACTGGGACAGAATCTGGTGTCCCGCATTAGAACCCGGTGTGCCGGCACCACAGGGGAGGATTAGCTTAGTGAGCCACAGCATCTACTGTCTTAGGTGCTTTTAATGCTGCTATATCCTAACAACTACCAGCAACATTAAACACAGTTTTGCGTACAGAAAGGTCCTTGCTATGGAGTCTAATGAGATGATTTGTAATGGGATCCAACTCAAATGACCACTATTATTAACTATTATTAACTCTGGTACTGCAACCTAAAGTGAGTTAATGCACCACAGGATAAAACAAATTGTTAATCTGTTTTCAGCAATTTTGGAAATAAGGACGCACATACCCAATATTCCATTGGTTTGTGGGCAAACTTTTATAATAGGTCATAAAATAAATACACTCTTTTGCATGTGTTGAAAACAGGATTCTCCAGTGCAACAGTGTTGAGGGGTGCAATCTTTAATACTGATTACCTCATTAGGGCTCTGCTCTTATAAATAGTTTAATGATATTATTGGAGGAGTGGGTTAATTATGCCAAGAGTGGGTTCCTCATCTCTTTCTCTGTCTTTCCCTGTCTCTCTCTCTCCTACACATACACATATTCATACACATATACACACACACACGTACACACACACACACACTCCTATGCACTTCCATCATGAAAGGAAGCACCAAGAAGGTTTTTACTAAATGCAGGCCCCTTGACCTTGGACTTCTCAGCTTCTGGAAGTATAAGAAATAAAACTCTGTTCTTTACAAATTACCCAGTCTTCAGTTTTCTGTTATAGATGCATAAAATAAATGGATTAAGAATATCTACAGGCAGCCTTTCATGAAGGTTGAAAAATACATTATTGTTACTGTCATTGCTGCCACCATCACTATGTCCACCAGCCAATTCCACTATCACCGCCATCTTGCCACTCCTACAACCACCACCTCCTCCACTGTCTCTGCCTCCATGACGGCCATTTTATATTTGCAGAGAGCATTTTCTTTTTGAAGTACTTTCTTGCTTGACTTGATCCACCTAACAACCTTACAACTAAGTAGATCTATATTAAAGCTTTGGAGATAATGCAGCAAGGATCTCCCCTTAATTGAAGAGCTAATTCCAAACTCAAGCCATTGCCCAGAGCACTATGCCAAGGGGACAAGCACAATGCTGGGTGGCACGCTAATGTCTCCCCTTACTGAGCTGTGCTCACTGATGATAGAAGAGAGTGTTGATCCCACATTTCTGGTGAAAAGCTATCAAAAGTCAGGCTTTTTTGAATGTCATTTATTTGATGTCTTAATTTTTTCTACTTCTTTTAGATTTTTTTTCTGGTTGTTGCTAATTTACAAAGTCTTCCCCAATTCCTTTGCATTATTTTTATTCATTAAGTTGAAAATTTGAAGCATAGCTGAAGGATTAAAAAATAGTTTACTATTTTAGGTTCATGCCCTGAAAGCCAAATCACTGACAAAGCCATGAAGATCAAAGGATTTGGAAGGTGGAAAACCACAGCATTCAAGGCTGCAGGTGCTACCCGCTAACTGGGCTAATTGGGCTCAGGAACTTCAAGGTGAGAATATAAACAAGCCAAATAACCATGAGGAATAATTGTGCACTCAAAAATTGTACCTCAGGGCAAATGTTGTGGTTCAATGTGTTAAGCCACTGCTTGAGAGATCTATATTGCAAATCTGAGAGCCAGTTTGAGTCCTGGCACTACTTTCAATCCAGTTTCCTGCTAATGCATCCTTGGAGCCAGCAGATGATGGCTCAAGTGTTTGGGCCCCTGCAACTTGCAGAGGAGATCCAGATGGCGTTCCTGGCTTCTGGCTTTGTCCTGGCCAGCCCTGGATGTTGTACACATTTGGGGAGTGAACCAGTGGATGGAGATTCATTCATATTCATTCTCATTCTCTCTCTCTCTCTCTCTCTCCCTCAATCTTTCTCTCTCTTTCTCTCTATGGGCCAACTCCGCCTTTTGAATAGATGAAAATAAAAAAAACACTTTAAAACACTTTAACCTTTAAAGAAAGTTGTGATTCTTTTGAACAAAATGAACTTATTAATAAAAATAAACTAGCAACTTAAATCAGAGTTTTAAAATCATGGCACAACTGTTGAATCTTAATGTGAAATAAAATAATGTTGTAGCCAATGTATTAAGACTTTTAGTTCATTGTTCCCAAATTGTATGCCAATGCACACCAGGAGACTGTAGCAAATTCATAAGGCCGAGGCAGGTTATTTTAAGATTTTGAAGAATATAGCAATATTCAACCTGTCAGATACCTTGTAAATTATTAGATCAAGGGTACACTTTCTAGATGAGATGCTACTACATACCTTTTGGTGACATTACCAAATGCAAAGCTGTATATCTGGCAATTGACATGACAACCCCCTCCAAATGCCAGTTTTGTTTGAAAATTGATACAAATATGGAGTGTATAGTATCCAAACTTTTTTCCAAAGTTGAATGAGTTGTTCAGTGCCCAAAAGATATTCACCTCTCATCAATGTTTTAAGAATGAGAATTATTCTCACATTTCAAGTTATGTCTATTATTTGAGATGACATTAAGTTGTTTGGGTCAAACTAATTAATAAATGGAATGGGTATTTCTTTTCACCTGGGGTGCTACGACACAATTACTGAAATAACTGAGAGTACCTTGAGCTAAGAACTATGGGAATCGCTGCATTGGGTGCAAGAAGTGAAATCAAAGCTCCATAAACATCGTCATCAAGGTCTCTTTCTAGTGTGTGTGTGTGTGTGTGTGTGTGAGAGAGAGAGAGAGAGAGAGAGAGAAGGACAGAGGGAAATACATCAAAATTCAACAGTGGGCAGTAGAGGAAGGACAGAACTTTTCTCCATGGTTTTCTATATTTACCAAACTGCTTATGATGAGCAGATATTTTTCTCATATAGTGAAAGAAAATGAAAGGTTATTAATAATGACTCCCCAGAGGAGAACATTTGCTTCCACGAAACAAGTATTTCCTGAACATACCACAGGGCTTCATTGCTGGAGCAGCTTTATCTCCTGCTGCTGCTTCTCCAGCCTTCTACTCCACATCCATAGGAACTGGCTCTGAGATCAGAGAGATTTTGAAGAAACCTATTTCCACATTCATCTTTTCATGGTTGTGCTTGAAACAGAGCCCGTTTTCCACTGCAGCCTTCAGGAAATGAACCTGGCTTGGGGTTTCCAGGTGATGGGGTTTGGCAGCCTAACAGCTGGCATGTCAAGCAAGACACTGCTGACTGATGAGGCAGGGCCTGCCGAGGTCATGGAGCTACTGCAAGGGATCAGGTTTCTGGCTCCATTCCACGGTGCAGTAATGACCTGCAGGCGTCCTGCAGGTTGGAGGTATATCATTGGAAATCTGCCCTTTGGACATTCACACTCAAAAGTACCCCTGAGTAAAAAGAGATCCTGGGTGTTTCAATGTTAAAATTGGTAAGCTCCTGAGAATTCGAATTTTGTATAAATTAGAGTGCTACCAAAAGAATTGTTCTGGATAGTATTTTTGAAGTGACTGGGACATACATATATTGTCTTTGTTTTACTGGTGGCAACAGAAAGTAATCTCAAAATGTTCTGCTTAAGAGGGGATTTTCATTTTAATTTGTGAGATAATTGGCTTTGTTTCACTTAAATTATTTAAATTTTTTAATTTTAAAAAATATTTATTTATTTGAAAGGCAGAGTTACAGAGAGAAAAGAAGAGAGAGGGAGAGAAAAAAGGAGAGGCAGAGAGATCTTCCATTCATTGGTTTGCTACCCAAATGCCTGCATCAGCCACACCTGGTCCAGACTAAAGTCAGGAGCCAAGAACTCCATCTGGCTCTCCCACATAGGTGGCAGGGGCCCAAACACTTGGGCCATCCTCTGCCACTTCCCAGGCAATGAGTAGGGTGCTGGATCAGAAGTGGAGCAGCTGAGTCATGAACCCATGTGCATATGGGATGCTGGCATTTTAGTTGGTAGTTTAACCAGCTCAGTCACACCATGGCCCATTTCATTTTAAATTTGTTGACTGATAATGCTTTTCATGTATTAAACTGTTCAGTCCTCATACCAGTCCCATGAGGTGGTACTAGTAAACCTATTTTTAGCGGATGAGAAAACTGAAGCACACAGAAGCAGACAGAATCACTACACTGTCACTGTTCCTTTGGGAACTTACTCTCTTATAATAGTATCCTTTTATTAGACATGAGTATAATACTAAATATTTTTAAAATCCAAAATTTATTTTCCTTAATTTTATGAGATTCTTAAAACATTCATTACAAAATGTCTATACTTCCATTATTACATTTATTAAATTATCATTTGTCTTTACAAGTCTATCTCCCCCACTAAATATGACCAAATATTGTTTTTCTCTAGAGCTGCATTGTCTAGTACATAGTAGGTGCATAATAGATATTTGGTAAGGAAATAAAAGCAGACACCACAGATAGCAGTTTCCATGGTGCTGTAACTCTGTCCCCTGGGCCTTCCTTGGAGGTCATTTGCAGACATTTCCTGTGTATGGTGCAGGCTTCCTGAATCTCTCCACTTGAAGCAATTCTTTTGCTGCTGGGGAATACTTGCGTGGCTAAGTATGGAGTAGTCAGTGGCTTAACTTCTGGCAACATACAACCAATAAGAAATGGGAGTTGCTACATAGGCACTCCAGCTTCCTTCTTCTTTTTTTTTTTTTTTTAAAGATTTTATTTATTTATTTGACAGGTAGAGTTACAGACAGTGAGAGAGAGAGAGAGAGAGAGAGAGAGACAGACAGACAGACAGAGAGAAAGGTCTTCCTTCTGTTGGTTCACTCACCAAGTGGCTGCAATAGCGGTGCTGCGCCGGTCCGAAGCCAGGAGCCAGGTGCCTCCTCCTGGTCTCCCATGTGGGTGCAGGGGCCCAAGGACCTGGGCCATCCTCCACTGCACTCCCGGGCCATAGCAGAGAGCTGGACTGGAAGAGGAGCAACTGGGACTAGAACCGGCATCCATATGGGATACCGGCACAGCAGGCAGAGGATTAACCTACTGCGCCATGGTGCTGGCCCCCCAGCTTCCCTTTTCCTGGATAGGACAATTCTAAGCTATGTTCCACCATGCCTCAGACTATCTGCAGCAGCCCTGAGCCTGGCTGACCACACCCATTGCTTGTTCATGAGCAAGTCCTTTCCTGGGTTCTCCTCCTACCTGGCATCCATACTCCATTCCCTAGGACTAGCAAGGAAACAAACTCTGCCAGCAACCTAAATGAGTTAGGAAGTGAATTCTTCCCCAGTTTGGACCCTGCACAGGAAAGCAGAAGGAAATGCTGCCCAGCTGACACCTTTATGACAGCCAGTGAGAGGTGAGTAGCGGTCCCAGTCAAGCTGTGTCTGACAACAGACCATCAAAAGCTGTGAGGATGTCAATCAATACATGTTGTTTCATGAAAGTTTATGGTGACTTGAGTAGCAGGTAAAGCTGCCACATGTGGCCGGCGCCGTGGCTCAATAGGCTAATCCTCCGCCTAGCGGCGCCGGCACACCGGGTTCTAGTCCTGGTCTGGGTGCCAGATTCTGTCCCGGTTGCCCCTCTTCCAGGCCAGTCCTCTGCTATGGCCCGGGAGTGCAGTGGAGGATGGGCCCTGCACCCCATGGGAGACCAGGAGAAGCACCTGGCTCCTGGCTTCGGATCAGCACGGTGCGCTGGCCGCAGTGCACCAGCCGCGGTGGCCATTGGAGGGTGAACCAACGGCAAAAAAGGAAGAGCTTTCTCTCTATCTCTCTCTCTCTCACTGTTCACTCTGCCTGTCAAAAAAAAAAAAAAAAAAAAAAAGCTGCCACATGCAATGCCGGCATTCCCTATCTGAGCTAGTTCATGTCCTGGCAGCTCAACTTCAGATGCAGCTTCCTGCTAATGTGTCTGGGAAAACAATGGAGGATGGCTCAAGGGCTTGTGGCCCTGTCTTCCATGTGGGAGACCTGGAAGAAGTTCCTGTTTCTCAGCTTCAGCCTGGCCCAACCCTGGCCATTGTGCCCATCTGGGGGGTAATCCAGTGGATGGAAGGTCTGTCTGTCTGTCTGTCTCTTGGCATGTCCTTCTTTCTCTGTAACTCTGACTTGCACATAAATAAATAAATCTTAAAAAATATAGATTGTGGTAGCTGGAAATGGGGTGCTGCCTTAACAAAAACGTGTATATAAGTTTGCTTTGACTGCCATAACAAAATACCACAGGTAGCTTAAACTACAGAAGTTTATTTCTCACAGTACTGGGGATCAAAGTCCAAGATGGAGGTATCATCATGGTTGTCTCTTCTGAGCCTCTCCTCCACTTACAGATTTGTGTGCCTTGGCTGTGCCTTCCTCTTGTCATTTCTCTATGAAGCATATTCAGTGATGGTCCTAGCCTTATGTTTACATTTAACCTGAATACCTCTTTACAGTCCCTGTCTCTAAATATAGTCTCATGGAGAGTAGAAGCTTCAACATATGAACTGTGGGAGGGACACAATTCAGTCTGTAGCAATGTAGAAGGTTGTTTGTAACC